CCAAGTGCTTGCTCAAGGGGGATTTGTTGGGTTTTCCCTATGTAATAATATTGATAACAGTAAGGTCTAGACCTTACTTTGTAAAGTGTCCTGAGATGACTTTTGTTGTGATTTGGCGCTATACAAATAAAATTTGATTTGATTTGATTTGAAATACTGTAGAGAAAACTAAAGAAATCTCACAAAGGCTTATGATTATTGTTATTATTAATATTAATATTATTATTATTACATATTACTATGTGCGATGTGTGATTTTATGCTTTCAGTAATCAATGGATTATCTTAAATACAGATTCTGTATATATACAAATATGATCCATATTGACTTTAAACAAATGTCCATATGCTACTCATAAGCTATGCTGCTGTCTCTACTGATTTCAACATGCACTGTATTTACAACTGTATGGCACATTTGTATCGTTCTACTCAGTGTCATATGCCAGAATCATGTAACCTTAAAAAGACTTAAGTCATGTAACTGATTTTCCAACATTTCCTGCAGGGCAGAGACACTGGTCAAGTACTGAAGCCTGAGAAATATATTTGTTTATACAAAAGGCATTCATTAACATCTACTTCCTCTTCTGGAGACATACTGTAGCAGGAAAGTAGACTTCTTCAGGGAATTGTTTTAACGGTGTGTAAAGTGGTGTTAAAAATCAACAGCAACTACCGGTTACTGCAGTAAGACATCCGTTTTTTAATTAACTTATTATGTACACAGATATGATAAGATAAGGAAGAGCTATGCATCTGTTTAATAAACAAAAACTGTACCTGACTAAGTGTATAAATACTGCACATTTTTAGAAAATTAAATGTACCCCAGCTCGGTTTCCTTAACCGTACATCTGTAGTGCACGTGAGACATATTAATTCACTGTTTATCGACTTAATATCTAAAACAGCTCTGAACAACTCCACAATTTAAATTCTCTTTGGAGTAATAGTTTGCTTTGATATGCTTTTTTTATTAAAGGTAAATTCCATGATTAAAAGTTCTCAAAATTACATTTACTCCATCAAAGGAACTGTAGAAACTTTCCACAAGTTTCCACATTTCACTTCTCTAAGTTGTGTGGGTGGTGCAGTAGTTGGCATTGTTGCTTCACAGCAAGAAGGTTCCAGGTTCAAATCTCAACTGGGGGCTTTCTGTGTGTGTTTTTTCCTCCCACATTCTAAGACAAGCAGGTTAAGTTACATGGCCCATAGAGTTGTGTCAAAAAGGATGTTAGATATAAAAATAAAATAAAAAAACTGTGCTAAACTGCATATGCAGATATGCAGATCACATGATGGGGAGCAGCTGAAAGAGGAACATCAACAACATTTCTAAATTGCTCCATGGTTGTCTTCCAGACTACGTAGTGGTGATGTCACAACATTATACTCATAGTTTAGAGATAACATTTCCCTGTTCAGCAGATGGAATTATAAAACAGCCTACTGGTAGAAACAGGTGACAAAGAAAAGGCAAACCCAATAAAGTGTCTCAGTGAGGTGCTGGGCCACCACGTGCCACCAGAACAGCTTCAGTGCTTGGCACTGACTCTCCAAGTCTCTGAACTCTACTGGAGGGAATGAACACCATTCTTCCAAAAAATATTACCTCATGTGATGCTTTTATGATGGTGGCGGAGACGCTGTCTAACACTTTGGTCCAACATCTCCCATAGCTTTTCAACTGGGCTGAGACCTGGTGACTGTGAAGGCCTCAGCACATGA